TCAGGAGTGATGAGAGGGGCTGGATCAATCCGGCGTAATTCTTCGTGTACTTGTGGAGATAATTTGCTAGCTTCAACCACTGACGCAACTCAGTGGGGTTCTTTGGTGTCGGCCATGCGCAGATAGAGGACACCTTCTCCGGGTCGGCGCGAACGCCGTCCTTGCCCACGAAGCAGCCCAGCACCGGAATCTCCGGCGCGCAGAAGATACACTTCTTCAGGTTCGCGTACAACTTGTTCTCGCGCATCACTTGGAAGACCTGTTTTAAGTGCTTCAAGTGGACTTCTATCGCGCTGAGACCACCCTCAGCGCGGCTGTGCACGAAGATGTCGTCGAAGTAGCTCGGTGCGAAGTCTCAAAGCGGACGCAGCACATGGGAGACCATGCGATTGAACGTGGCGGGAGCATTCTTCAAGCCTTGTGGCATCACAAGCCACTCCCAGAGCATACCGCTGGGGGTGCTGACCGCTGTCAGGGGGATGTCGCTCGGTCTCATCAAGATCTGATAGAATCCATCGGTCAAGTCGATGGCGCTGAAAACTACACTGCCCGCCATGGTGTCGAGCACCATGTCCTTCCGGGGAATTGAGGTTTGCGCGGGGATGGTCGCATCATTCAACTTGTTAAAGGCATGAACGATGCGCCATCCGCCTGTGGCCTTCTTCACACAGAACGTTGGGCTCGAATGTGGAGAGACACTCTCACGCACGTGACCTGCTTTACGGCGATTCTCGAAGAAGTCGTCGATGGCCTTGACTTGGTCTCGCGGCAGCGGCCACTGCCGCGTCACACAGTACTTCGAACCGGGCGCGAGATCGATCTCGTGGCGGACGCCTCGATCGGCAGGCAGTTCGGCTGGAATCTTATCGGGGAAGACGTCCGCGTATTCGCGGACGGTCTCGTACACTGGATTACCAGACTCGCGCAAGGACTCGCAGGACTGCGCTGCGAATCGCCCCTCGCGAGCGGACTTCGGTTCGGCGCTCTTGGGACGGGTGGATCCGTCGTCATCACTGACGGTGTTCCCTTCTAGTGGTGTAGACGAAGTGTCTGTGATCAGAAAAACCTGCTCAACCTCACCAACCTTGAGACCACGAAGGAAGTTCTTCCAGGAGAGACCTGGAAGCCGGGTGATCGATTGAGCGTCGCGAGGTGGACACGCAGGAGCGACGGTGCGCTGACGGCCCATACCGTCGTCCACGTGCTCAATGACACAGACCGACTGCGTCTGTGAGATGCCGTTCGGTGCAGTTTCACGTCGTGGCTTCAAATGACGGCGCTTCGACTTCTTTGCCCGGCGCCTCGAGTGTGTACTCGAGGAGGAAGAATCGCTCTCGCTGGACGATGTATCACCCCGCTCTAGGCACTGAAGCTCACTCTCGACTGTGCCGGTCACACGCGGCGGCCACTGCTCGACCGCGTGATCGTTCGGCGGGAGCTCCAACTGCTCGACCACCGGCTCGGGTGACGGGAGCCTCGACTGCTCGACCGCCGTGTTGCATTGCGGAACCCATGCTCGACCGCTGTGTTGCGCTGCGGGAACCCATGCTCGACCGCCATATTGTGCTGCGGGAACTCATGCTCGACCGCTGTGGTGCGCCGCGGGAACCCATGCTCGACCGCAGATGTGCGCTGCGGGAACCCATGCTCGACCTCTTGCTCGTATTGCGGGAGCCCCTGCTCGACCGCCATCGTGTTCTTGTCCTCGCCTCGCGGCGAGGAGCCTTCGTGCAACAGCACTGCACAAGCCGTGCAGAGAGGGTCATCGCTCACTCTGTGTACAGCCTGCGTCGTGGACGACCGGTCCACGACGGTGACGTGGGGCCAGTCCTTCTGGGCAACCAGGAGGTGGGTGAACACCTCGCTCACGTCGAAACCGCTGCGGTGTTTAACCGAGCGGGCCAACCAGTCAATCTCTGTTTGATACCGTGACAACCACGGGATGCCCAGGATACAATCAAATGCGTAGTTCATCTTAATCACGAGGAAGTCGTCATTGCTGCGAAAGCCGTCGAACGTGTACGGCAACGTGATCTCGCGCCGCGCGACGTGGCGCGGCTTTCCGTCAGCAAGCTTGACTACAACCTGTCCGCGACCGTTGCGGACAGCGATTTCGCTGGGTAGCGTCGACAGACACGACTCACGGAAGAAGTTGTTTGTCGCTCCTGAGTCCACAAGCGCGCGTAGTGGACGTCGGGCGCCGGCGACATGGAGGCTGATGATGATCAGTCTTGAGTCGCCCGACGCTGTGGTGGCATTGAAGTGTGCGTGTAGCACGCGAGGGCTAGAAGGTTGGGTTGCCACCGGGGGACCCGGATCTTCATTCCAGCCAGTAGGGCGCCCCGCACCTACTGGCCTTGGCCGTTTTTTGGGTGATCGGTAGGAGAGGCATCGACAGTATGCGCGAGTACTGGCGCGGGCGCGCGGCACTCAGCCGCGCGATGTCCAACCTTCCGACAGCGGAAGCAAGTGAGGGATCGACTGGGACGACCACCGTTCGCACGAGGGGCTGCACGACGGCGGTTGCTCGACGCGTCAATCGCGTCGATCTCCATCGGCTTTGGAGCTGACTCTTGAGCTTCCGCGGGCATTGGCCCGCGCATACGACGCCGCCACAACGTAGTCTTCACGAAAGTGCGAGAGCAAATGCCTTCTCGAGAGAGGAGGGTTCCGCTCGAGTCAGACAGTATCGCGTTATGCCTTCACGCATGCCGAACACAAAGACGTGGACTTGAGATGCCATGTCAATCGGATTGGTGACGATGCAGGATGCGAGGTGGCGTGTCTTCTGGACGTAGTCGCGCATGGTCATCTTGCCTTGTCGCAGAGCGAAGAACTCTGCGCGCACTCGGGACTCGTCTTGTGGAGGCTCGAAGGCGAGACGAAGATCACTCTGGAGGGCCTCCAGGATGGAGAACGCATCGTTGTTGACGACCAGTTTGCCGAGTGCCCACTCCTTGGCTTTCCCGGCCAGTCGGGAAAGTAAGAAATTAGCTTTCGCTCCTTGCGCCTCGATCATCCTCGAGGCGATAGCGATGTCGATTTCGCGAAACCAGCGATTCAACGGAAGGCGATTTGCTCCTTCACCGGAGTAGGTTGACGTCTCCAACTTGACGATGTCATTCTTCGAGGAACGCGAGGGAGACGTCGCTCGCCGATTCGCGTCGGCGAGCTCGCGTTCCATGAACTCTTGAGCTGCTTGACGTTGTTGATCGGGAGTCGCTGAGCTCAGCAGCGACGCGACAACAGCCTCACCGGACACCGCCGCAAGGCGGTGAAAGGCTTCCCACTCGACACGAGTGAGATGAGGGAAAGCAGCATGCTCCAGGGCTGACCCTGAAGCTTCAGACGTCTGGCCTTGGCTCATTGTGAACTTGGTCATGGGAAGAACTACTAAGTGCTACCAGGTGTAACGGGCCTAGAATGTCCGTTACTAGCTTACACGTAATAATGAGGAAGCGTGCAAGATCCACGATAGTGAAACCAAGTGTTTAGTCTGAAGGAAAATCAACTCTGTTTTTATTTAGGTCCAGGGCAGCTTGCCCTGACCACTCAAATACACGTCAACCCCTTATTGGCTGATAATGGGTCTGGCTCCCCATATATCAACCAATAGGATGACGGCAGTTCAGCACACGCTAGCCGTGTGCTGCTGCACCTACTTTTGTAATATAAAGCTACCTACTTATGTAATGGTGTGACCCACTACACCGGGGTTGTCTATACAAACCGCCGTCTGATCCATGTTAAACAAGCCGGCATATTTGGTATTGTAGGAAGTATGAAACACGCAATCTTTTTCAACAGCAACATTGACTGAATTAGCGAAAGCATCAGCAACGTCCTAGTAGTAAAACACAAAATAGACATTTTATATACAAAATTAAAAAAAAACACACACAAGCTTAATCGAGAAAAAAAAACTTGCATGCAAAAATAGAAATAGATCACAGCAAATTCACCTGCATTTCGTTGCGAATCTTGGTGCCTTTGTGGGTAATACGGCGGACTACAAGGCGATTGCGCTTGAGGAAACGCACTGTCCACGAGCGAAGAGCCGTGTATTGACGTGCAGCAGCAAAATCGCCGTCAAACTTAGCGATCATCAGCGTTAAACACTTAGTTGTCAGACATAACTTGCGGTTTTTGCTAATCTCTTCTACGTAGGATAGTAACCTGGTCACAGAGGCTTAGTTTTTATTATAAAGTGCATTTTAGAGCAGCAGGTGCACTTACTTTGCTTCTAACACAAAGAAGCGAGCACGTAATGCCTGGTGGGCACTCGAAAAACGTAGCACTTGCCTCCAATCTTTTTGTCTGCAAGAAGGGCGGCGCGTTTTTTTCACCTATACGCAGTCGAGCGATGCACCGACAAGCTCGCTGCCACTACTGATACGGGAGCTGCCTCGGCTGCTGTCACTCCCTTTCACATAGCGTATATAAAAGTTAGTTTTGTATCATATTTGCGTCCTATAGTACTAAAAGTATTACATCTTACTTTGAGCTTTGTCCGATTCGAGTTCTTAGGTCTTCGGGGCATGGGGGCCGGTTGGTTTCTGCTGGACGGATGTCATCGGCACCCCCTCAATAAAAAACCTAATGAGGTTTTTCACACTCACCCATTCAAACCTGTCGCACTGGGCCCGATAAATACGGTAAGTGCGTCACTCCTGTAGGGTCGACAATTTACGATTAGAGATGTAGATATGTTGTATTTACATAGTACGTGAATTATTTTCGCTTCGCACAATATTCACGGAGATTACATCAGGCTCAAAGCTTGCGACTTGGATTTTGTAAGAACAATAGAGGTTTCGGATTTAGGAATAAAATAAATGAAGTAAAAATGTTTGAGTTTTGAAATACCACACAGCTAATAAAAATATCGCGATTTCTTTAAAGCAAATTTCCGCTAACTTTTCCGACCTATCACATTTACTTCGTCGAACATCACACCTCATTCGCCGTAGCAAGTTGCACCTACCCGTTTCCTTGCTGTCATGGGTCGAATCGCGCGGTTGGAGCTCGAGAACTTCAAGTCGTACGGCGGCTACCATGTCGTAGGGCCGTTCCACCGCTTCACTGCCGTCATCGGGCCCAATGGCAGCGGCAAAAGCAACCTAATGGACGCGATTTCCTTCGTCTTAGGTGTACACTCACGTCAGCTCCGCTCCAATCAGCTACGCGACTTGGTACACAAGGCACCGACTGACACTGCTACCACCGGTCGCTCAGCGTTCGTGACGCTCGTGTACGAGCTCTCAGCGGACGAGACGCCGCCTTCCAAGTCTCTGGCGGCGCAGAACCAACAGAAAGAAGTAAAATTCACGCGTCTCATCTCCGAAAAAGGCGCCGGCTCGTACCGTATCGACGGCCAGGACGTGAGCTCTGAGGGCTACCAGAACCAGCTGAAAGAGATCGGGATTTTAGTCAAATCTCGCAATTTTTTAGTATTTCAAGGAGAAGTCGAGTCTATTGCCAGTAAAAGCCCCACGGAGCTCACGAAACTGTTCGAGCAGATCTCCATGTCTGACGAACTGAAGAACGAGTACGAGCGGCTTATGGAGGAGAAGGATGCGGCCGAAGAGAGCACAATCTTTGCCTATAAGAGGAAAAAGGGGCTGGTGGCCGAGAAGAGACTCGTGAGGGAGCAGAAGGAAGAAGCCGAGCAGTTCCGACACAAGCAAGACGCTGTGGTGAGGTCATTTGACACTGCGGTCATGGATGTAATTTCTAATAGTTGTGTGGCTATATGTGTTAGAATGATCTTCGCGTGGAGCATTATTTGTGGCAGCTTTTCCAGGTAGAAGACGACATGACACAGCGAGAAGAGACGGTGAGACAATACCAGGGCGCTCGACGTACTTGCTCGCAGAAGGAGGAAGATGTGGCTCAGACGTACCGTGAGAAGAAGAAGGAGTTGAACGCCAGTCTACGCGAGGTGAAGACGAATCGGAAGCGGATTCAGGACTTGCAGAGCGAGATGGAAGACATCCAGCCACAAGTGATTCGTCTACGAGAACAGACGCAGTATTCCCAGAGGAAGATTGTGGAGTCGGAGACGACGGAGAAGCAGATGAAGGAGCGGCAGGAGGGTAAGGCCAAGGAGATTGAAGGCTTGAAGACGGATTTGCAGGAGCTGGAGAAGGTCAAGGCGGAACTCGAAGCGAAGCAAGCCAAGGAGGCAAGTCAACGAGGCGAGGAAGGCTCGCTAGTCTTGGAAGGCTCTCGCTTGGACGAGTATCATCGCATCAAGGAGGCTGTACAAGTCAAGACCAACTTGCTGCGTAATGAGCTCGAGTCGATCTTACGTCAGCAGAACGCAGACAAGAACAAGGTGGAGACTTTGAGTCAGGAGCGTCAGGAGAACCTCAAGATGATTGAAATGCTGAGCGACGACCTCAAACAAGCGGACGAACGTGTCGTCAGTATGCAGTGCGTCATTTCCGACACTGAACGCGACATCGCTGACGCCGAGAAGAGCTTGCAGACTGCGGACGACGAGAAACGTGGCCAAGCGGAGGAGAAAGAGAAGCTGACCAAGCAGTTAGAACGCGTTAACAACAAGTTACGCGATCTCAAAGACGATAAACGACAGTCACAAGCTGAGGCGAGGAGAGCAGACACGCTGGAAACTCTGAAGCGACTGTACCCTGGCGTCCGTGGTCGTCTTGTAGATCTCTGCAAGCCGACTCAGCGCAAATACAACATGGCGGTGACTGTGGCGACCGGCAAACACATGGACGCGATCGTGGTGACTGACTATAGGACAGGCCAAGAGTGTATCCAGTACCTTCGAGACTCGCGTGCAGGCAGCGCTCAGTTCATCCCGCTGGATAAAATTCGAGTGAAGCCGATCAACGAGCGCTTCCGTGGCTTGGGCAACAACATCAAGATGGTGGTGGATGTGGTGCAATGCGACCCGGAGAACGAGCCAGCTCTGCACTATGCTGTGGGCGATACTGTTGTGTGTGAGACGATCGAGGTTGCTCGTGATCTTTGCTTCCGTCAGAATGAGAAGTTGAAGGCTGTGACGTTGAATGGGATGGTGGTGAGCAAGAATGGCAGTATGACAGGCGGGAAGACGCAGAACGACTTGCGTCGTGCTGGTCGCTGGGATGAGAAGGAGGTCGAGGCTTTACAACAAGAGAAAGATAAGCTGATTGACGCCATCCGTGCTATTGAGCGTCATGGTGCGTCCTATGCCAAGCTACAGACGCAACGTACGCAGATCGAAGGACTCAAGAGCAGACTCACACATGCCAAAGCTGACCTGGTGATCACGGAGAATAAGAGACCAAAGATCCAGCTTCGAATTGATGAAGCTAAGAAGCGAGTGAGTGAGGTGATTGAGCCGGAGCTTGGCAAGTTTGCAGCCGCTGTGGAGTCTCGCAGAGCTAAGATTGACGCGCTGCAGGACCAGATTCACGGAGTCGAGGACGAGATGTTTGCCGACTTTAGCGAAGCCATTGGCGTCGATAGTATTCGCGTCTATGAAGAAAGAGTACTGAAGAGACACCACAAGGCGATGGAGATGCGCCGTAAGATTACGGAACATGAAGCGAAGCTGCGAGCACAGGTGAGGACGCAGGAAGGTACGGGAGGGATCGTTTGAGCGGGCCGCTAACGTTGTCTGCTGTGCTAGATCGAGTATTTAGAGTCGCAGGACTTCAACCAGCCTATGCTGGCAGCGAGAGAAAGAGCGACGCGAGAAGCGCAGCATTTGAAGACGTTGGTGGAAGAGGAAGCGGCTCTGATGAAGACGTTTGCTGTCTTGCGTAAGGAGAGAAAGGAGCACGAAGCTCTGCGGCAGACTTTGTCGACAAAAGTGGAGGAGCTGGAGAAAGCACTACGAGAAATTGGCAGCAAGAAGGCCAAGTACGAGCAACGGAAGGGCAAAATCCAACGAAGGATCTCGTCAGAGGAGACGGTGCTGGAGCGTCTGAAAGACCACAAGACGGAGCTTTTCAAACGTGCAGCGTTGGATCAGATTAAACTGCCAACTGTAGCTCGCTCTGGCTCCGAAGACATCGAGATGGAAGATGCAAGTGCGTCCAGTAGCCTCGAGAACACGGAACTTCTACTGGGAGCTGACGCTGCCAACCGACAAGTGGACTTCTCGTCGCTTTCGGATGCTCACGTCGTGGTGGATGATAAGGAATTCGACGAGATTAATGCTGACTATGAGAAGCGGATTGGTCTTCTACTCACTGAGCTGGAGCAGATCCAACCAAACATGCGCGCATTGGACAAGTTTGACGTGATCCAGAGTCGAATCGGGAAAGAAGAAGAAGAACTGGATCGTATCAAGCAACAAGCTCTGGACACGGCGTCCAAGTTCGAGAAGGTCAAGCAAACTCGTCGTGATCGCTTCATGGAAGCGTTCACGCACATTTCAGGAGTCATCGACTCGACGTATAAGCAGTTCACCAAGAGCTCCAAGCATCCGCTAGGTGGCACTGCGTATCTGAACTTGGAGAACACGGAAGAGCCGTATCTTAGTGGGATGAAGTTCAACGCTATGCCTCCGATGAAGCGATTCCGCGAGATGGACGAGCTGTCTGGAGGCGAGAAGACGGTGGCTGCTCTTGCGTTACTTTTCGCCATCCACAACTACCGCCCGTCGCCGTTCTTCGTGCTTGACGAAGTGGACGCTGCTCTGGACAATGTGAACGTCAACAAGGTGTCGACGTACATCGCCAACTGCGGCTTCCAGTGCGTCGTGATCTCGTTGAAGGATTCGTTCTACGAGAAGGCGGACGCGCTGGTTGGAGTCTGCAGAGACATCACGTTACAGCAGTCCAAGTCGATGACTCTGGATCTCACCAAGTTCGACTAAACTCTACGCACTAATTATTTTTTTTGCGTTTGAAAGAGAAGTTTACAATTTTTAAGGATAATTGAGTTTTTTATGACGTTATAATGCTTGCCCAAAGCGAGTTTTTGATGAATATTCCGCTTCTTTTTGTACCAATTCCTTAAGACGATGATCTGCTGCTGCTTGGGCTCTTGAGAATTTGCCATATCGACGTTCCTCGTAGAGTAAAAAACATTCGGCGAGTCGGATCTGGGAAGGTAAGTCGACGGTCGCGTGGCTGGGGGCGAACGCGGCTGAATCGAGTAGAACTGCGAGATCTCGTTCCTCAGGCATCTCGATAGTCCAGAAGACGCGCATACTTTGATCCAAACCTCCGATAGTTGAAAAGGGGTTTCGACGAGGTAGACGCACTCCATCCATTGCAGCAGTGGCGAGTTGGCTTTTACTCACGAAGTCAAGATCGCTGGTCATTTTCAGAGCGTAATTCAAGTTTCGCCAAAGAAATGGACGTGTCTGGAGCATGCAACGTCTCCATCCGGCTATAGCATTCACTGTAGCTAAAGAAAGCTCTCGAACTCGAAGAAGGGCTTGTAACAACTCGACGCTTTGGTCGTCTTCGAAGCAGCAGCAACATCGTAACAGCTCGTTCAGTCCGGCTTCTCTTGCCACGATAGAGCGCAACACAGCCAACTCCTCTTCCGATAGCAGTCCTTCGCAAGACAAGGCCTTGGTGCTTGAATATTGCGTGACTGAACTGGAAGGCTGCTGTCCTCCATCATTTCTCTGGTTCAAACCTGACATGGAAGGCTTCAATACTCGCTTAAAAAAAAATATTGTGAGCAGTCGGATGATTATCTTAAATCTCCTGGCATCCAAATGATTTTTTATTAGCGACACTATTTCTTAGCATTGCAGCAATATCATTCTGCCAGTATGACGCCATTTATTTGCGTTGGTCAGCAGCACGACGTCGAATCTTTTCCCATGTCGTGGGTTTTACTGGGGTATCCTCCTCACTAGGCACTCCAAAGAAATAGTCATCTTCGTCGTGGCGCAGTGCTGGGGTATTCTTGTCGGGTCCTGCGCGACGATTATCACGAGAGTAGTGCGCGTATGGGTCACGAGAGAGAGGAGCACTGCGGTCTCCAAATTCCGACGCATCGTCAGACGCGGAAGGCTTTGAACCAAAGAAAAATGGTGCGCGACTTCCGCTGTCGTTGGGCTCTCCAAACGCCTCATGGTCACTGGCATTGGACTTCTTCTTGCGTCGTGGAGTGTCTAGTCCAGTAGTACTGCTGGGAAACTCATGGTCATTCCGATGAGGAGCGGACGGGAGAGTCGTCGTCGGCTTCGAATCAAAGCTCGGAGGTGCATTTGCATCCTCGTTCCACGAGTCACTACAACAGAGAAAAACATAGTGAGCACTCGGCAACAGCTCCATTGATAGCCAACGTACGTGGCAGACGCTGAATGTTTAAATTTCTGGTTCAACTCCTGCACGAATGAATTGTCTGGTATCTTTTCCATCAAACTTTCATAAAATAAAACAATGAGTTTTCACTAACAACTTGACACTTTTCCACATTCTACTCACATGGTCCTGGCCCGAGTCGCAAACGGCGACTTGTCCGACGGCAGCATCAACAGGTCCGAGAACAAGTCCCGACGGATACTAATGATACCGTACGAAGCTCCAAACAAACCACCAGCTATAAAATAAACAGAATTTAGATACAAGTACCTTGATGCTACCTGTACCATACTTTATCCCTACTCACACATCATTGCGAAAGCCCCCGCCACTCTTTTCTGGTTCTTCGAGAGTTTCCAGAATCCAGCCATTACTGTGGAGCCGAGAAGCGCGCCTAGCGCCGCGCGGCGTCGCCCCATATTGGCGTAATGAGCCAAAATCTCCATCTCGGACTCCGTCCTATGATATTAATATTTGACCGTGAGTATGAAGGATGGACAACGAAATTTAGATAACGAGTTGTGCTACATACTTGCCGATAAAAGACGCGTCTTTGTCTTTGGACATCTCCACGCTCAGCGTGCGGATGGCATCGTCCACGGGCACCGTCGACAGCATTTTGGGATTACTTTGGACTGTGGGGTTTATACGAACACTACATATGATTGGGAGAAATTGAAATGTCTTTGGCGAATAGCAAAACAGAAAAGTGTATCCATCCGGGCTTCAACTACAGTTAGGAGGCGAAAAATTCGTTGACGAATACCAGTAAACTTTAAAATTGCTCTTGACAGCAGAGCTAGTTTTCGTATTCAAATCGTAGTCAAAAATGCCCTCACTTCTGCACTACGACGCCTTCCTCTGTCAAGCGCTTGTTAATCTGCTTTTCCACATACGCGAAAAGCTCAGGAATATGATCGGGCAATTGACATGACACAAAACACTGTCGACCAGTGCGTCTCGCGAGTCTCTGGGCAATTTGCTGCTCTTCCATCTCCGGGGCCCCCACAATGGACGTGATGAGTGGCATCGGGCTGTAGCGCGTGGCGATCGCCGTCGACAGCGATCTACGCGCAATAGATCGATTAGAAAATACAGTAGTACACATATAGTTTGACATTGTGTCTTGTACCCAAGACGAGGCTTGTCGGTCGCGGATCCCATCCACACGAAGATGCAATTGCTCAGCAGCCAGATCTGCACAAGGTAGTTCTGGTCCAGCAGCGTCCCGGGCAGGTCGATAATGCGCAGCCCGGCGCCGTCACTCAGCTGCAGCTGCTGAAGCTCCTTGTCGACAGTAGCTGCGCATATAATACAGAGGTTAGTGCGTGATGCAAGCACAACACTCGTCGGCGCTACCTACGCTCCATTTTGCTTGGGATAAAGTAAGAAAAAAAGGTTTTTTGAACACTGATTGGTCAATAACTTTATCAAATCACCGATAATGAATTTAAGACCATCGGTCACCTACTAAAAGCAACATGTCGGCGGATTTGAGTCTGGAGGCGCTGGAGTCGCGGCTTGTGACGTTCACACAGCAGCTACAGAACATCCATGAGCTTCTGCAGAGCGACCCGACAAATGCTGAGTTCTTGGGTATCGCCAAAGACCTCGTGGAGGTCATCCAGCTGACCAAGGAGGCGGTGCGTCCGATGCGGAATGGTTTTTACTATAATTTCTCTACCTAATTCGAAGCTATTTGCTCCAATTTATTTTACAGATCGATTTCAAGGTAAATGCTCCATTGTCCTCCCAAATTCCAGAGCCACAGAAGCCCCAGCAACCTCGTCAGGAGTCTTTAAATCTTGGTACGTGACTTTGTTGCTGCAAATATGAACGAAACACTGAAAATTTCTCGGCTTCCGTGATATTTTAGAGCTGAAATATATACCTGGCTCAGTGGTCGAAGCTCTGCAGCAAGGAGTCTGGTATCCAGCTCACGTGGATTCGGTAACAAGTGACGGTAGCTACAACGTCAAGTTCCTGGGCTTCGGCACCACTGCTGAGCTTAAAGAAGACGCACTTAGAGCCGTTGAAGTGGACGAGGAAGAAGCTGCCAAGCTGCCAGCTAAGGAATCTATTACAGAGGGCTTCAAGTGTCAGGCTAAGTACTACGCGGACGCTGTAGTATACCCCTGTTCGGTCACAAAGGTCACCGAGTTGGGCTTTCAGGTGCTGTTTGACGGCTATGGCAACTCGGAAGAGGTCCCGTACGAGTATTTGAGACCTACAGTGCTGCTGCAGACGGAGGTAGGCGCTGATACCGCTCAGACTAGCCCTACTAACGCAGTTGATGGTGCTACTGCGCCTGCTGATGCTACTACAGCGCCGAAAGTGGCTCCGGCAGTGATCCACAAGGCCATCAAGATTCCGGAAAACCTGCAGATCTTACCTACGGACACGGAAGCTGAAAAGGAACGTAAACGTAAACGTATCCGTGCGATTAAGAGTCTGAACCGACACAAAACCATTGACAACGAACGTAACATCAAGCAGCACGACTGGAAGGCGTTCCAGCACAAGGCCAAGAAGAAAGGGATGAAGAAAGGTGTCAGTGGAGTGCTCTCTAAGCGCGGTTCGAGTATGTTTGCTTCCCCCGAGACGGTACAAGGTCGTGTGGGTGTTGTGGGCAGTGGCCAAGGCATGACGAGCTTCCAGGATACACGGATCAAGAAGCCGAAGCACTCTTAAAGAGAAGGTAGGCGACGTGTCTAGGTAATTTCACTGCAGGGGGCCTGTGGTCTTTTATTGTCTGCACTTCCTAGTACATCGCAGTTGACGCAGTTTGTGGTTCCCTTTTTTGTATCAGTTGTTTTCAATTCTTGTGCAGGACTCAGACGACGTCCTCGGCGGTACTTAAGATGCTGCCGTGTTGACGACGTGCCGAGCCAGTCAATCGTAGACTGCTCTCTCTGCTTTTAGCGCTGGCGTTTGAGGTTCCGGAGCCGGTACGTGACCTATCACGTCTGGAATTGTTACGCAGATCGTGCTGGGAGTCGTCACTGCGTGCTGCTTCGAGGATATCCGGCTCACTCCACCCGTGGCCTCCAAAACGTGGGGTTGAGCTCCTTCTGCTTCCTGTTCTTGATGAATTCCCATCTGGAGGTGAAGCCATGATCGTTCTCACTGGCAGCGTCGGTAGCAATAACGTTGCGTCTGTCGACAGCAGTTGGTCATCGAATGGCGACTGCAGCTCCACGACATCTGTGTAGCCTGCTAGAGACGAAGGTCGTCCAGTTGACGAAGCGGAAGATATCGGAGATAGAACCGCCATGGCCCCCAAACTCGCGTCGAGATCTCCTTGGTCTTCTTGCTGACGACGCTGAAGACGTCGCTGTCGAGCCTCGTTCTGTTGGTGCACTCTCAAGTAGTTCGTGAGCTGCTCGAAGCTCTGTTCATAGCCCAACGAGGCATTAAAGTGATGCACCATACTTCGTGAGAAGGTGTAGCGCTTCGCCAGATCCACTTTGTGTAGCGACAAGAGAATGGGGACCAGCAGCTTCCCACGGTCCTCTGCAAACGCTAATTGGTCGGCTAACAGATCACAAATCGCGGACAATGGGGACAGCACAACTAGCACTGCCGAACAAGCCAGGATAGCGTCTTTTGCAGCGAGTTGTCGGGTTTGGACGGGTAGACGAGAAACAGGCTGCTCAGAGCCGCCCAGATATGCCCCAAAGCCTCCACTTTGAGCCTCAGCCTCGTGATCTGACGGCTGGTGTGCGTATTGTACCGCAGGGACAGTTTGGTCAACGACGCAGCGAATGCCTTGCTTCAGTAATGACTTCTGTAGACGCAGACAGAAGGAACGATGGAAATCTCCATGTGCGATGAACACGAACGAGTCTGTGGTTGACGTAAACGCCAGAGATGAAGCAAGAGAATCGATCCTTCGTAGAGGACGAAAGAGTGGCACATTAAGTGGACCTTCCGGAAAGCTGATCTGTGCATCGGAGTCTTCACACTCGCCAGCGTTTCCAGCTGCTGCAGGGATTCCACAGAGTCCTTTATCTTCTTCTTCGGGGTAGCACTCGCTATCGTTCCGCCGACTTCCATGACGAGATGCATCGCCATCGGCTCTCGCGTCAGTGTCATGACCAGGTAGTTGTGCTTGTTGTTGCTGTCGCTCTTGACGTCGAGCGAGGCGTGCGCGATGCTCTTCGATCTGATCTTGAATGCCGTCGAGGAGCATCCGCAAACAGTGGCAAAAGGCCTCGTCGTTGTAGTCCGGCACAAGCTCGAGGTTGCTGGCAACACGCTTGCCCATCATATTCGTCACCTCGGTGTCATCGTCCTCGATTCGAAAGTCTGACTCACCCTCATGAGAATCTGTGTCTTCAATGGTATGTGAACTGGTGCTTGTTATCATGGGCACAGGACTCTTCGCAACGTCACCTTTATCTTCGTATAGCGAATACGGGGCGTGCTCGCTGCTTTTCACGACATAGTTATGCTTGACTGCAGGTCGGAAGTCAATCACCTGACGAGTCCACAAGTAAACCTGCAGCTCCTCGGAGATCTCCATGTCTTCACATTGAATCGCCACGACTGGGATGTTCTGCATCTTAGCAAACGCCAATTCCTTCATGCACCACTGGGACTGCGGATAGTCTTTCGTCAGTACCGCCAGGACCAACGCACTGCTCTGAATGCCTCGTGCAATTTCCTGACGCCACACGGAGCCGCCGGTGATACCTGTGGGGCCCATTGTATCGATCCAAGTCGTCACTCGCTGGCGTTCCAGCGCATCTCGAATCTTACGAGCCAACGGAGCATGCGCATGACTGTAACTGATCATCACATCGCGCTGACCTGCTTCTTTCTTCACAGCAAAGCGCAGAGCTGGTGACCGAGCGCAATCAATCGCTCGTTGGCCTAGGAGATTGACAGCAGTCAAGCTTAAACCAGCACGCACGAACAACACAGCCGCAGTCTGGTTGCGTCGCCGTAATGCCACATGAAGAGCTGAATCTCCATTGCTAGTCCGCGTGGCATGCAGATCTACAGCGTAGTCAAGTAATAGCTGGAAGATACGCGGGTCCAGGCCACGAGCAAGTGATCTCTGTCCACTCAACATGACGCCAAGACCCCCTTCCTCGTCACCAGGGTCGTCACAAACTACATCATCCTGCACGCGGTCGGCACTGAGCTTGTCTCGCTTACCTGTCGTTGTCTTTGCTCCTCGTTTAATAGACGCACACGCTCCAGCCGCGCATATACAGAGCAACGGGTCACCTTGAGCGTCACGGACGTTAACATCAGCACCACTCTCCAATAACGCCTCAACAGCACGTGTGCGGTTCAAAACGCAAGCCCACGCCAAAGGTGAGCGTCCAAACACGTCCCGTGCGTCCACGTTTGCTCCATATCGCATGAGAAGTCGAATGATACGAGCATGTCCACGCATGGCAGCCCAGTGGAGAGGAGTGCGACGGAAACAGCCAATCACTTGTTCTCCCAGCGTGTCTGGATCCGCTCCGTGCTCCAATAAAAACGCCACTTCATGCCGTCGTCCACCAGCACAAGCATCGTGAAGAGGAGTCAGTCCCACGTCTCCGCCGTACTTCTCCATCTGTCGAGCCACAGCGGCGTTGCCTGCAATCCTCGCAACTTCAAACGCTGTAAGTAACAGTCCATTGGCGTCTCCAGGCAAAGCAAGCGGGTTGCCACCAGCATCAAGTAGCAATCGCGTGCACTCCTTGTCCACAGCCCAATAGAGCGGCGGTGTGGCGAATCGTGGGTGTGTTGATATCGCCGGTGCATCAGGCTTGGCGCCATAGCGTAGCAGTAACAACGTGAGCTCGACATAACCCATTGTTACAGCTACATGCAGCGGAGTTAACAATGTGGCTTGGAATAGTCCCACAGGACCAAATGGATGCGACGCACTTGCAAGACCAGGAGCTGCACCGCCATTCCCCGCGCCACCTCCTGCTGAAGCAGTCGCGACTACACCTGCACTGGAACGACGCACAAGGAGGAAAAGAAGGCGGAACATGACCCGATAGAGCCACGCTAAATCTAAGCGTAGTAGCTCCAACTTATCCAGTTGTTGGACGTCAAAGTGGCCATTAGCAAGCAGTTCACGGACGACTTCGATCTGGTCAAAAGCTACAGCCACATGCAGCGGGTTGCGCTGTCCTCGAGCGAAAAGAAAAACTCCTCCCAGGTTCCACACGCGCGGCTCGTACCACTCTGTTGCGAATTCGGGACCAGAAATGCTGACAGCAGCTTCCAGTAGTGCTCGCACTTGTTCAACATCCCCACGTTTCGCAGCACCGTACAGTGCTACTTTAACGTAGTGGATTTGATTCCTGATACTGCCCTCAGGTACTGTAGCTTTGCCGTTTTGATCCTCTTGTGCTCCATCGTATCGATTTCCTCGTGCTGCTTTTCGTAGACGCTTACAACGCTTCCAACACCCCCATATTGGAGCTGGTAGCCACGCGTAAAGAGGTGTAGCGAATGATTTTTCAATGTAATCGAAGCGAGAGTGACCCGGTACGTATCCACGCTGGAAGAGGAAGTGCAGATGAAGTCGGTGGAACAGCAAGATCTGTCTCCATCGCAAGATATAGGCGAGAACTGCCACGAGTTGGACAGCGAGCAATAGCAAGAAATAACCGGTGGCGAGTTGTCGATCGCATGCAACGAGCATCTCGGAGATGCTTCCGGATTCCGATGGCACGAACATCACCACCAATAAGAAGATAAGGTACGGGATTTCAATCACCACAATGATCTCGCATAGCGTGAATAAATAAGTCTTCTCGAATCGCTGATGCTCTTTGGTAATATCTGCGACTGCCGAAGAAGGCGTCACGACAGACGACGGCTCGTCATTGACTGATGACGTTGAATTGACTCTGGAATAATCTCTGTGTGCACGTTGATACAATCGGCACGCCTTGGAATTCAGCGCAGGTAGACAAAGCACCACATTGGCCACCATTGAGTACGCGTACATGTCCAGAAACTCGATAGAGTGGTCGTGACAATGCCTTTCTGCGTCATGTCCTGCACCTTCGTCCTTATGTGACAGAATGGCTGGTACGACGACGTGGTTCAGTAGTTCTCGCAATAAATACACCGCCACAATGAGCGTTGAGTTGGCCACCATCCTGGCACACAAATACGTGTTACTGTCTCTCTTAAGCCACGGGAATACACACCACAAAACACGTCGTATCCTCGTGTAGCACCACCAGAGTTTCCTGACCCGCATCTGTCCACTTGCGTCCACATAGTAATGACACGACGGTAATGCTGTATTGCCACAATCGCCAATATCCACAGCACAATTCACAGGAGGCGTCGACTGCTGCTGCGTCTCGGAGCTGTTAGAATGTCTCGAAGAGCGTGCTGAGACGGCAGAGGGTGCCGCTCGTCGGTGCCACTTGCTGTGGATATCCGACGTCGTCTCCGAGTGTCTGGAACCGTGTGTTCGACCTGCGGAGCTGGCAGAGATCTCTCTCTGGGTATGGGGTGATGACTCAGCTACATCCATTAACGAAATCTCGTAGCTGGGCGGCGAAGGGCTACTGTGAACGTCACTCTCGCTGGTGATTGGCGCTCGTCGTCTGGGCGAGCGTAGCGCGTGGAAGTAGCTGGAGATACCCAACGACTGCTGTACAGGCTCAATGATGGACGAGGAGGAGGAGCGCGACAAGTTGGCGGCCTCATTGTTGCCACTAGGCTCGGAGCTCGACGGCATCGCCGCAAGACTGCTCAGCTATAGAGCTCAGCTACGCTCTCTGGATTGTCGAAGCTGTTGCAGTTCGCGCGGTCTAAAACTGTATGTTCGATCGAGCTATTCCGCAGCGGAAATCTGCTGGATTACGGGGACCTCTTACTTATGAAGTAACGCAATGGCCGTTGCGCTGTAGGTCTCCTGCGCAAATTTATTACTTCGAAGTAAAGTACCGGTATCTACTGAGATCGTGGATTTTCTACTTAAAAGCTACTTATTAAAAGCCCCGAGGTTTGATAAAATTTTAGCCAATCACACGTAGTTTTACTTAGAATTGCCAGATCGAATCCTTCCCTCTCGCCATGAAGAAGCTGGTGATCAAGCCGTACCGCCAGAACATGGGCATGGACCAGGCACGCGCCCAGGAGATCTGGACGTCGCTGCGCACGGCCATCTACGAGATCTTCTCGCACAACGCGAGCCTATTGTCCTTCGAGGAGCTGTACCGCAATTCGTACAATCTGGTACTTCACAAGCACGGCGATCTGCTCTACAATGGCGTCGTGGACGTTATTACCGAGCACCTTCAGAGCGTAACACAGCAAGTGGCCGCTGTATCGGACGATATGCTGCTCGTGGCGCTTAACGACCAATGGGTTGATCATCAGATCGTCATGACGATGGTGCGCGACATCCTCATGTACATGGATCGCACTTACGTGACGCAGAAGCGCAAGCTGCCAGTGTACGACAACGGGCTGTACATCTTCCGAGACGTCATCGTGCGTCACGACAGTATACGCGACCGACTGCGTGCTCGACTACTGCTCAGTATCGAGCGAGAGCGACACGGAGAGCTCATCGACCGAGATCTCGTTAAGAGCGTACTTCGCATGCTCGTCGATCTCGGTGTGCACTCTAATACAGTGTACGAGAACGACTTTGAGAAGTTTTTTCTCGATACGACGCTGGATTTCTACCGAGCTGAGGCCCAATCCATGTTGGATGTGGCTACATGTCCTGAGTACTTGGAGAAGGCCGAGCAGCGGCTGAATGAAGAAGGAGCTCGTGTACTGCACTACTTGAGCCCGTCCACGGAGCATAAACTGAAGACGATCGTGGAGACGCAGCTGATTAAAAACCAGGCCAAGGCGCTGGTGGAGATGGAACATTCCGGGGCTGTGGCACTATTCCGAGACGGTAAAAGCCAGGCACTACGTCGAATGTACTCGCTGTTTCGACGTGTACCTAGCACGTTGCCTGAGATCAGTGAGAGCGTGTTCCAGTACATTAAAACGCTGGGCGACGAGGTCGTCAAGACTCAGTCGAATTCGGAGACGGCGTTGGATGCGTCACAATTTGTGGAAAAGCTATTGGCATTACGTGAAAAATTCGTGGGTTTCTTGTCGGATTGTTTCTTCGACGACCCACAGCTCCACAAATCTATTAAGCAAGGGTTCGAGGCCTTTATGAACACTAACACAGTGTGTGCCGGGTATCTAGCACACTATCTGGATGAGTTGCTGCGCTCTAAGAAACGGTTTGAAGAGGAGATGGACACGCGGGTAACGCAAGTCATTGCATTGTTCCGGTATCTACAAGACAAGGATGTGTTTGAGGAGTTCTACAAGGTGTTACTGGCTAAACGTCTTCTAAATAGTCGCGGTACTTCGGACGAAGCGGAGAAGCTCGTGATCTCGAAACTCAAGGCCGAATGTGGCTACCAGTTCACGTCCAAGCTAGAGGGAATGTTCAAGGATATGAGTATATCCAAGGATCTTATGGAGCTGTACAGGAAGTCCGGACACGACACCCGAGGTACCGGTTTTGGTATCGATATGTCTGTCGCCCCTATGCCGCTGTCAGTGCATGTGCTCACAAGTGGCTTCTGGCCCACAGAGATGGCTCCAATGTGTGCTCTTCCCTTGGAACTTGTCCAGATGACGCAGGCCTTCGAGTCGTTCTACTACGCACGACACAATGGACGGAAGTTGGCGTGGATGGCAAACATGGGTACAGTAGATGTCCGAGCCATGTTTTCAGCGGGTCTGGAGGATGCTAAACGTCGTCATGAGCTCAACGTATCGACGTACCAAGCTGTCATCTTGATGCTGTTTAATCAGCGCTCGGAATGGCGCTTCAAGGAGCTCCTGGAGCGCACACGAATTGACGTAAAGGACCTGAAGCGACACCTCATTTCTCTCTGCACTCCCAAGTACAAAATTTTGATCAAGAGTTCGAAGGGAAAACGTATCGACGAAGAGACGGATACATTCTCAGTGAATGACTCGTACAAGTCCAAGCTGCTGCGTGTTCGGATACCGCTAGTGTCTCAGAAGGAGACGTCGTTGTTGCCAGCCGTGGCGTCAAGCACGAACAATGCAGCCGATGCACTGCCACCTACAGTCGCTGAGGACCGCAAGCATCTAGTCGAGGCCTCGATCGTGCGTATCATGAAGACGCGCAAGCAGATGCAGCATAATCAACTTATCGCTGAGGTTACGCGCCAGATGACTGGACGCTTCACGCCGTCCCCACAACTCATCAAGCTGCGCATCGAGAGTCTGATCGAGCGCGAGTATCTCCAGCGCAGCATCACGGATCGACGAATGTACAACTATTTAGCTTGAGAAGTACTGTACGTGTCCAATCTGGTGACGCTAAAGACACGAGAATGCCTTACAACTAGCAGCAATTTTAGAAACTGAAAGCCGATCGGAGCTAGACCATCATAATTGATGTGCCTATTGATAATAAAAGAATCTACAGAGCAAGTTCTGGGGGTTATTTACTTATCTGGTTGGTGTTTTATCGCCGAGCATGGCGTCGAAGCTGATGTTGATAGGGTCGCTCGACTCCGTGAGCTCCAGCATACTGATGGACGAGTTGGATCCTCGTTGACGAGTGTCGAAGCTGCCGTCACTGGAGAGTGCACCCAACGCCGGGTGTTGCCGCATCGCTCTTGAGAACGACGGCGCTTGCTCCTGCATCCGTTGCACCTTGCCATTCTCCGCCACTTCCACCTCTTCGTCCGAGTCAAAGTCGTCGTCCTGGATGCCTGCGTACGAAATGTGTTCGTCTTCCTCGTCCAGATCGTCCGTGATCCGTCCGACGAGCGTCGAGAAGTTGCCGATCATCGACTGCGAGAGACTCATGTCCGACGTCACACTGCGAGTGGTACCCGTCGTCTCCAAGAAAGTCTGCGAGAGTCGTGTAGGAGGCAGCCCGAAGTTGGACATGTCGCTGCGTGAGCTCGAGAAAAGACTGTGCGAGTTTGGGCGACGTCGACGCAAGCTTCCCTCGTTAACTGGGCTCTGGAAGGATGGATGGTAGGACCCTCCAGTCGACATGAAGCTCTCCCGTAAGTCTGCGAAGCCTCCTCGAAGCTGTACGTCGCTCCCATTGCCGCCGTTGAAGCTACGCAGCTGGCCAGCCGAGTTAAAGCTGACGAGTTGACCGCCAGAGCTGAAACTGGGCAGTGGTCCTCCGATGCTGATACCGTATACTTCTTCTCGTAGAGCGTCCAGCAGATGTCGCAGCGACTGACGGAAGCCCATCATGTCGCCCTTGGTGAAGAAGTGGAAGAACTCGCTGCGTGCCAGACTGTACTTGATGTCGAGAGTGAAGTCCATGCGGTTCACCACCACCGGCAAGATCTTCTTGCCCTTGTCTTCTGCAAACGCGAGCTGGTCTTTCACCAGTTCACTGGCCAAAGTTTTCTCCGACACGAGGACGACAAACGCCGAGCACTTGAGAATCGCCTCCTTGGCTTCGTGGATACGCACCGACATGTCCTCGTTCCTCGAGAGCACGGGGCGCTTCGTCCTGGACTTGTCCAGCTCCTCCTCCGTGTCCTCTGCTATCGTCGTGGCCAGCTTCACCATGTGCTTGCGATCCACGTAACATCTCAATCCTCCCTCGCGACACATCTCAGCACACAACTTCCGCACGAATCGCTGGTGGTAGTCGCCATGGCTGATAAACACAAACTGCTCGCCACTCGCAGTAGCCGTGTGCAGTTCCTGGAGATCTTCCACAATGCTTTCACTTGTATTGGGCTCCTCAGCACCGTTCGAGTCTCTCTCTGAGATGGCATTGGTGCGTCCTCCACGCTTGGGCTTCTCCTTGCTAGTAGCTCGATGGAAGTAGTACCCTCCCGTATCCAGAATGATACTATCCGACACGCCACAGTCGTCCACGAAGCTGTTGGAGCTGGTGCTGCTCAAAATGCTCAGATTGGTGCCGTTGTAGTCGTAATTGAGGCGCAGACCTCGCTGACTACCGGAGAAGACGCCGGTAGACCCGATAGAGCGAGACGAGCCCGGTGCACCGCGACGACGACTATTCCCGATCATGACAGGCATGGTCGCGTCATCGCCAAGCTCGTGGATCGACGAGCCGTTCGAGTCGGACGTCTGGGAGTAGAAATTCGGCGTATCAAACGCTGATAAGGCCAGTGCGCGCTCGTCAAACTTCATGGAATCCATGCCGTACGTGTGGGTGGAGCTCATACCTGAGGCCACGTGGTGGAGACGGCGACTGCGCACGCCGCTGGCTCCGTGGCCCGATCCGGTCATCGGATTTGTCTCCGCACGTCGCATGTTGCGCTTGATGTTGTCCTCCTTGCGCTTCTCGATCTCGTCTCGCATCCCATCGAGTAGCATCCGCAGCTGGTTCTTGTACGCGTCCTCGTCATATTTGTAGCGAGTTTCCTTCTCATTCACCTGCTCCACCTTCGCAATGGCGCTCTCGAATGGAACAAGCTGACGCGTGTACAGATACACTTGAAGCTCCTCCGAGATCTTGGCGTGCTCAGTGGAGATGGCCAGGATAGGTGTACCCACCTGCTTGGCCAACGCCAGCTCCTTCAGACACCATTCGGACTGTGCGTAGTCTTCTGTTAGGATACAGAGCACCACTGCAGCATTCGTAATCCCCCGTGCTATCTCCTCTCGCCAGACAGACCCACCACCGATACCGCTAGGATCCATGAGGTCCAGCCACACAGTGATGTTGGCATCTTCCAGAGACTTACGCAGCTTTAACGCGAACTCCATGTGGGAATGCGTATAGCTGATCATCACGTCTCGAGTTCCTGCTGCACGTTTGATCTCGAACTGCAGCCTGGTGGACGTGGTGCAGTCGATAGGCCTGAAGCCATCGTGGTTCGTACGCATGATGTCTCCGCCCATACTCAGCAAAGCCAAAGCTGTCTGTTGATCATCCAGTTTGACTGCCAAGTGCAGTGCTGTATCTCCAGTCAGGCGGAGTTGGTGGTTGATGTCGCCCCCACTCGCCACCAGCGCCTTGAACATATCCACGCTGGTGCCTCCCGCGCAAGCTGCACACATGATGGGCGTCATATCTCCATCATCCACGATCGTCGGGTCTGCCCCGTGTGCCAGTAGAACGCGCACAATATCCACACGATTCACACGAGCAGCCCAATGCAGAGCCGTGCGTCCATGGGCATCCTGGAAATTCGCATTGGCCTTCGCAGCCAGAAGGATCTCCACTGCCCCCACTGCGCCATTGACAGCAGCCCAATGCAGCGGCGTTCGCTTGTTCAGTCCAACGTATCCCAGCTCTCCTAAGACGTCCGGGTTCACCTTCTTACGCAGAAAACTCCTGATCGTAGCCACGTCATCCATCGCTGCTGCTGCGTGCAGTGGCGTAAGCGCCACATCGCCGCCCCAGTCTTCCAGAACTTGTGCAACAGCGTAGTTGCCTCTTAAATACGCGAGCTGCAGCACTGTAATTGTGTTCATATGACCGGGATCAGGGATCGCAAGATGATTGGCACCAGCTCGTAGCAAGACGTGCACGATCTCTGGGTGGTCAGCGAGGAAAATAGGCGGCAAGCGGCCCTCGCAGCGATACGACGACTTGGAGCACAAGTTCACATCAGCTCCATGGGCAATCAGCCATCGCACAGCAGCCAGACGCCCCGTACTCACAGCACAATGCAGAGGTGTCACCAGCGTCGTCTTGAACACGGAGCTGTACGTCTCGTCCGCTGAGACCACAGGCTTGGGGATGAAATAACTCGCGAGATACCAGAAGAGATCGCCCGTACTGAATCTCACACGTGAGACCTTATCAAAGGCATTGACGCGGAAATGCGCCTTATACAGTAAGTCCATGGCTGCAATGTTGCCTTGGTACGCAGCTACGTGCATGGGGTTCTTCATAGCGAGTCCAAAGATCCCAAACACCATGACAGGATCGGGGTATAATTCTCGAGCAAAGCTCTCGCCAAGATGCAGCTTTGCGATCCGAATTGAGCGTCGAATAAGCTTGAGATCGCCCAGCTGAGCGCCTCGGAACAGCCGCTTGCTAACGTCCTTGACGATCGTTGATCTGGCTGGAGTCGGCGTCGTCTCATTGCCATTGCCGTTCTTCTGTTGCTGCCGCTTCTTGCGCTTCATCTTGGAGCGCAACATATGCGCCTTGACGTCTCCAGTCTGGTCGCTCTCTTTGAAGGCTCCTAACTGCATCTTCAAGTGTTCACGGAAGCGAGCAAACGCTCGCATAAGTACGAACAGCAACCAGAACATGACGATAGCACAGCCACAGAACACGTAGGCGGGGATGTTGGAGTCGCAGTCCACGAAGATCTTCCCACTTGCAACGTAGTAGACCAAGAAGCCGAGGATCAGAGCTTCATACAGGAAAATCCCCACGCCCACGAGCTCACAAATCTGCAGACAGACGGTGCGTTTGACCTTCTGTAGTCTCCCGCCTCGATCAATGCGATGCTCTCGTCGGAACGGCTCGAAAACTCGCAAACCTGATGCTGGCAGCCCCAGGATAAACACTGCCGGGAACAAATGATACACTAACGCTGCTAAAGCCAGGGAAGTTGAGCAGCTGGGCTCGTTACTGGAGACCAGAACTTTCAACGGAGAGCCCACATACAACTTCCCATGGCGAATATCGTCCGCGTCGGACTGGTAGAAGTAGAAGAAGCCCAGAGCGACGATGTCTCCCAGCACAATCAGCTGAGAGAGGCGTAATAACCTCCTCGAGAAGTAGGAATTGCTCTGGAACTGGCCGTTGAGGTATCTCTTGGGTAGTTTGGGTAGAACAGAGTCCCGTATTTCAATAGAGCTCATGTGCATCGTGTGTTCTGTAGCGCCATCCTTACTGCTCTGGTCGGTGTCCTTCCGGGACTGCTCGATGTGTTGCTGTTCCTTGTGTTCCACCACATCGGCGTCGTCCAGAGTGATGGTTCTGGGTCCTAACTGGAGATCGTGCGCCATCCTGTCCGCTCCACTGAGTCTGGCGCCTGAACTAGGACGATACGTCGGCGCGACTGATGGTCCCGACTCGGCGTCGCTATTGTACGTGTTCTGACGAGAGAACTCCTGGGTACGGACCTTGATGGGCGTCTCCAGTTTGGCGTATTGCGTCTGCGCGTCGGGTGTGTCCTGCTCTTCTTTGTGGTCGGTTTGGACTGTCAAGTTAGCGTTAGGGTCCATAACCTGTTATTGAATGCCCCAAACGGGGCTACCGGAAGGCGGTGCTCGCTTGGCGAGGTGATTCGCTTTGTGCTAGACTTCCTGTTACTTGGCAAATGTATGCGGAGACCTGCGCACTCTCCTGGCGTTGGAGACTGGCATCGTTCGGTCGCTCCGTACACCTCTGTGGAACAGGCTCAGCACGGCGTAGACGGGACGCCTCATTATCTGACTGGAATCGGTGTGTACGACTCACATGGACGACGATGGACTTGGCTCCTGTTCCTCGCTTGACAGGAGCTTGGGCTGCTGCGGTCGTATGGTTATCGGCGCCCATTGATCGTCACTTGTTGCCATAACTGCAGGTTGATGTTTGACCGCATTTGGTATTTTCCGCCCTTTATAAACTGTAAGGTACAGTTACAGACTGCAGAGTCATCTGGACTGCTGTAATTGAGCACGTCTCCACTTTTGTTACTTCGAATTACATGTACGGCTTGCTGGGCGCGACGATCGAGGACAAACATGTAGATACCGTATCATTCTCAGCGGCAACGTGGCTATTGACAATAATAAAAAGCTGGCTGAGCCGTACCATGGAGAAATGACCTGGAACGTCAGAGCGCTCGTTGATATATGCTGCCCCCTCGACTTTGTGGGTGTCTCCAAGCTATAATGCGACTCACCTGCATAGAGAGAAGACGGAAGAGCACAACAAAGCTCCATTTTCGTCCCCGTCTCACCCTGTAATAAATACATAAGGAGCGGTGGCTACATGTATGCAGTGGGGGAAGCAATACACCTGTCCATGAGTAGGATACAGGCGTGCTGTTGTTTATTGCACCGCTTTATGGGCCACCTCGTCGGCACGACTCCCTTGACCGTTCGCAGCGAGCTCCTCTGCTTCAAGCACCTCGAGTGGCGTCAAAGGCTGGAAAATGGACAACACGACCGACACGAACGTGCGCAGAATGATGGCTGCGCCGCAGAGAATCGCCCCGTAGATCAGATACACGTCCACGAGGTACGTCTTGTATAGCGGCTGCAAGTTACGCATCGGTAGCAAGTGACGCGCTCCAAACTGCGCAACAGCCAACAGTTCGTTCACTGCACGGTCAACGCCTCCTCCAGTCTTCAGCAGCTTTCCGAGATGCTCAGCATTGGCTTTAAAGTGTTCGTGCTCGTCCACCAGCATCCTATTCACTGCGTCGCGTAGACTACTTTCAGAAAATGATTTCCCATCCAGTTGTAGACCAGCACCCGCTCGCACTACAGCGTTCACGCCTTCAACTTGTTCTGCTGAGTGAGGTAGACCTAGAACGGGCACTCCAGCAACGAGCGCCTCTTGCATACTCGCAAAATCTCCTGCGGTAACCAGTAACTCTATCTCAGGCGCCAATGCTAACACTGTAGCTTCATCCAGTCCGTCGCCCAGGAACATGACCGAGTCTCGAGGACGTGAGCGCAGATCGAACGCAGCCTGCTCTTGTAGTGTGATTTTCCATAACAGTCGGGCATTCACGGTCTCCAAAGCGTTCATCTGTATACCGTAACCATAAATATACAGTCAAGACACCGTAATTCAACACTAACAAATGGCACAAGACGTACGGTGGCTGTAATGAACTCGGGGGTCAACGGTACGTCAGTCTGGAAGCTGATAAATATCAGCGGTTTGTCTTGATGTTCTGGCGCCTCTAACCACGTGGTCAGTGCCGCTGGAAAGCTGCTGCGTCCATTGGCTTCTTGACGCTCGCGTTGCAGCTTGTGCGACTGTAATAGACCCACCATTTTGAATTGAGGTGCCATCGGACGCGCTTCATCCAAACCGAAGACCGAGTTGACTAGCACAAGCGCGTGGCCGTGCATCTGATGCTTGCTATCGATGGCTTCGAGTCCGTGTTCTTGCCGCACGGCGTTAATCTCTTTATACACATGCACTAATTGCAGTCGGAAGCGCAGACGGTAGTAGCTATTCAGACATCGTTCCAACACGCTCGTTTTCTAAAAAAAAATCAAATACATGTAGAAACGAAGAATATCACCATCAAAAGTTAGTATTCCCAACATCCTTTTCATCCCAATGTTACAGTTTTTTCGTACGTGCATGGTAAAACTGGAGAAAGGCGCGGGGATGTATGCCGGAGGTGAGTCTATGTCAAACAGCAGGTGCGGGTCATTCACCACGTAGGGTAATTGCAGTCGATGGCAGGCGTCAAAGCCCGCAAACGTGAATCGATCCACCACGACCAAGTCCGGCCGCTCATCTTCAAAATCTTCTAGCAGCGCTCCGAACATTGGGCGTTGGAATGAGGCATAGTAGCGTAAAGTATTGGCGTAGCTTTCATAAACTCCGAGACTGTGGAGTTCGCTCGGGTCCAATGCCGTTGCCCGTCCTTTGCCTACGATATTCCCCAGAGAAATAAATTCCAGTCCTTCCAGATCGCTTACCCATTGGCGACAATTCTCGGGTAGTGCGAAACCTACGCGCACACCACGGGATAGCAGCGACTCGGCTAGATGCTTGAGTGGCAGCACCTTATCCAGAACGGGGATGCTCACTAAGACGATGTACAGGTCGCTTGAAGTAGCCGCTGTATTGTCAGTTTTGCTCTTGGAAGTGGCGGCGTTGGTTGTGGCCCAGCAGCAGATAAAGCCCAGCGTCAACAAGAGCCACGCGTTCGATCGCCATTGACGCTGCAGACGCGAACGTAGACTCGGCTCTGGAGTGCGAGGCTTGGAAGAAGGCGGAGAAGAGGTCAAAAGCTGCACGCGCTGGATGTGAGTGGACTGTACGGCCACGGAGCGCAGCCCCGCGAGCCCCAACAGCTCCGACTCGGCCATTAGCTCGCAATTGGGCGACTATAGTGGCGTTTGGCTCAATTTGTGAATGTTGGCAACAATGTTTGTATCGAAAGGGATCCCCGGTACGAGTCACTACTCATTACGCTTTTAAAGTGAGGTGGTCCGCCCAATTATTACGTTTGGCAAAATGTGCACTATCGAATTGTTACAAATAGAAAGTGTTTTATTATAGTACATGCTGCTTTTAGTAGTACGTATTAAACTTTTTCTAAAAAAACTACTAGGCACATGCTAGCTGATTAAAAAGTATTACTGCAAATAATATTTAAGAATACTACTGTGGTACATGTTTGACAAAAGACATACCTCGAAGCAAAAGCTTCTGCATTACTGATAAAAAATGGCGCGTGGAGAGCGGAAGCTATCTGCTCATCGTTTTTGCTAGGTTCACTTGTCCTTGAGGCCGTCCGACGACGAGACCCCGGCACCCTTAAGCAGCTCTTGCGCGTACGCGTTGTGTGCCAATTTCGTTTGGAGACTGCATGCAGCAAACGGTCAGAGATCTACAGTGGCGCACAAGGGAAAATGACAAAGATCACTTACATTTCTCTCGCTTGAGCCGCGTGTGGTGCTTTGTCATCTGGAAGCTGGAGAAGCTCCAGCAGCGATGTAAGTCTTTATTATTGAGTTGGTTAGTAGAAGAAGTGGAGAAGCAGATGATGGTTTTTTGAGCGGGCTAATGCTAACGTTATTCTTTCGGTTTGTCAATCTGCGCCAGTGGCTCCGTCAGCGGCGACGTTGGTGGCGGTGAGAGCGCAGGCGGCGATGGCAGCAGCGATGTAAGTCTTTATTATTGAGTTGGTTAGTAGAAGAAGTGGAGAAGCGGATGATGTTTTTTTGAGCGGGCTAATGCTAACGTTATTCTTTCGGTTTGTCAATCTGCGCCAGTGGCTCCGTCAGCGGCGACGTTGGTGGCGGTGAGAGCGCAGGCGGCGATGGCTGCAGCGATGTAAGTCTTTGGTTTTTTAGCATCTTTTCGTCCATCCACTGAGCTAATTGGAGCAGATGCATGTGCAGCCGCCGTTGGATATACGTACTAGCAACATCTAGCTCAAGATTTTACGTAAACATGAAGACAAATGACCCTTACCGTTAAAGTAACAAATTGTTGTTTGATTTGACAAACTGTACGTAACGATAAAGGAAATTGACCATACAGTTGGAATCAACATCAACGGCAATCTGCAATTTACAGTCATGGCAAAACGACGATATGCCAATGCAGCTGAAGATGAGTTATCTTGTACAGGAAAACCTGATGCAATTCAGGCCACTGCAGCGCAAGAAACAAAGCGTCAACGAAAAGCTCAGTACCGCAACGGGACCTCCGATGAAGCTTGAACCTGACGTGAAGAGACGCAAAACCAGCTAAGCGTTGGCAGTTTTGGTTGATACCAAATACATTGCCCAGCCTTTAATTCTACTTTGCTATTGACAATTATGCTAACAACCGTATCAAAAAAAATTAGCCATCTTAATGTTAGCTCCCAGTCGCAGGGGGTCCCCCCGCAGAGACAGCAAATGTCGACATATTTTTAAAAATATGTATTCCCAGTGTAAGTCGCAGACGATCTAGTTATAGTACATGCTGCTTTTAGTAGTACGTAGTAAACTTTTTCTAAAAAAACTACTAGGCACATGCTAGCTGATTAAAAAGTATTACTGCAAATAATATTTAAGAATACTACTGTGGTACATGTTTGACAAAAGACATACCTCGAAGCAAAAGCTTCTGCATTACTGATAAAAAATGGCGCGTGGAGAGCGGAAGCTATCTGCTCATCGTTTTTGCTAGGTTCACTTGTCCTTGAGGCCGTCCGACGACGAGACCCCGGCACCCTTAAGCAGCTCTTGCGCGTACGCGTTGTGTGCCAATTTCGTTTGGAGACTGCATGCAGCAAACGTGTCAGAGATCTACAGTGGCGCACAAGGGAAAATGACAAAGATCACTTACATTTTTCTCGCTTGAGCCGCGTGTGGTGCTTTGTAATCTGGAAGCTGGAGAAGCTCCTTGAACAACTCCGTACGAATGTTGCTCGTACTCATCGACGTTCTGGCACCGATCGCACCACCAACTATGGCGTTCAAATTCCACGTTAGTGCGAGAGTAAGTCCAAATATATAAGACGAGAGCTCACCGAGCACTCCTGCCACACCCAAGGGCGTTCCAAACGCAGCAACGTTCCAGATACCCGCCATCGCTGTAGCTCCTAGCAATCCACCGAAAGCGGCACGACGCGTCCCTTTCTGACGGTACTTTACGAACACGTCACGTTCAGCAGGCGTGACGTTCCTATTCCCATTAAATAGACGCAATCAGTACAGATGCATTCATCGAGGTATATGTACCACTGAATATGACGCAGGAACGTACATCCAGGGAGGACGACCGAATCCTCGGGGACCAATACCCCATGGGGTAAAGCCACGAGGAGGGCCATAGCGCTTGGGATCTTGGCCATCCTTCTTGTTAAACATTTCGGAGCGCATGGTGTACATGACTTCGTACTGCTCGGAGGTCATGGAGGACATCATCGTGCTGGAGTTTAGGAAGCTAAGAAGAGGTGGGTTCTTTTAAAGCTGAAGAGCTGGGAAAATGAAAATGAGCTGCTCCAACCGGCGATGTATTTCGAGGGAGTAAACCTCTGTGTTGACGCCGGAAATATCATTATGGTGATCAGAATGAATGTGCAACATGATGGGCAATGAGAATACTGAATAAACATTTATTTCTCTCGCAAACAAGCATCCACGTTTAAAAAAAAATTCTGTGTACAGAATAGTGTCATTGAAATTTGTGGCAATGAAATGAGAAATATGCTAGGAAACTGTAGATTTCATTCGTGGTTAGCATCTTCTTCTACAGTGTATGTAGCGTTAACCGCTCCCCACGAGCTCGAGCCTCACGGTTCCGACCTATTTAGAAGATTTTGCGCGAAAGCGTTGTGCAGCAGCTTCGTTCGGGGGCTATAAACACACACAAATATGAGCAACGTCCGGTTGATCGCTATTTTCTTGAGGGAGCCGTACATTTCTCGCGCTTGAGCTGCCCGCGGCGATCTCTCACTGGGGAGCTTTATCATCTCGGACATCATCTCAAGCCGAATCCCGCTGGTTCGTACCGAGACCCTGGCGCCGATCGCCCCACCCACTGCAAGAATGAACAAACGAGTGTAAGACAATGTTTTGACATCCCGATAAGCAAATTGCTCTTGTTATACCAATCATTCCAGTGATTCTTAAGAAACTTCCCAGTGCGGCCGCTTTCCAGACGCCTGCCATCGCTGATGCCCCGATGATTCCACCAAGGGCCGCACGCTCCCTGCCTTTCTCTCTGTACTTCATGAGAACACCCATCTCCGCTGGGGTGACGTCCTTTCTGCTCGTTCAGTTGGAGTTAGAGACGCTATCGAGTAGTAATAATTCGAAAAGCTAACAGGGACGTACATCCAGCCGAAAGACCCGCCACGACGCCCACCAGGACCAGATGGTAAGGGTCCAGCCCCACCAAACGCCCAAGCACCAGGTCCAAAGCTCCAGGGTCTAAAGCCCCAAGGACCGGGTCCCCCGCAACCTCCTGGGCCAAAATGTCCAGGAGCACCAAACACACCTGGGCTAATTCCTTTCTTGGCGAGTTCGGAGCGCACTGTGTACAGGACCTCGTACTCTTCGGAAGACATCATGGCGCTTGTATTTCTGGTAATACGATTCAGTTGTGTTGTGGCCTTAGCAAATTGAATATGCTGATCAGAATGTTTGTTTAGGGCGTCAACTAGACCATCCTGATGGTCATGAAATTTGTTGACTCCTCGACCGCTTTTACCTATTGATGAGCGACCATTTTTAGCTCGAGGAGATCCACTCAAAACAAGTTATTTTGCTACTTCTTCTTAAGTCACAGACGATCAAGTTACCCTACCGCTTTATTAGTATTTTAGTAGGTTAATTAAATAATTGGGCTGGTTCTGAGATTTTCAATATCTAATTTAAAAAAATAGATTAGGATGCTGGTTCGATATCGGTTGCGAAAATCTGTGCGATATTTAATCAACACTTAACATCTTATCTCAGTGATGATCGCGGTAGGAAACCGGCGCCCGCTTTATCGCTACGCTAGAGCGCTCCCTAATAATAATTACCGTCTTCTGCTTCGCTGTGGTGGCTTTAGTATAGAAGATCATCCTTTTTGTACTTGTACTCCGCGCCACGCGCCGCGCCTGCAACCTACTTTTCAAGTCAAGGCTCTCTCATTGGGTAAAATGTAATGATTTAGCCGGGACGGATTTTTGCACCAGTCCTTTAAAATCATTTAATGTGATGGCTGCCAAATTTAATATTTAAATAAAGTTGTAAGAAAGTTCAGCTAAAATATAAAAAAATTGGCTACGGTTTGTGCATTCCCTGCTTTATTTAACTCAGTTCGGTGATTCTACCTGCGTGGATTAGTAACCTCAAATTATCGATTCAAAATGATGGTTTTATAATACCGTTCATTACAAATTTGTATGTGTTAAAATTAAGGAGTACACACCAAACAGACGGCCCGATTTAATCCCAGAGGAGTACACCAAACAGACGGCCCAATTTAATCCCAGCACTACCAGAATAAATGGTTAAGCTATATCCACTCACCTAATCTTTAATAGCAAGTTAAACGAAACAGATTTGGAATAAGGTTGATTTCGCTAAAAAAAAAATGAGATTAACTTCTGCAGGTATTTGATTGCCCAACCGAAGAGCTGGAGGGTGTTGCGTAGCCCCATCTGGGCCATCGCTGCCTACCACACTTCATCCGTCGCTATCGTACAGGTGTACATTAATAAAGAGCGTGTAGAAATGTCGGCGTCCGCAAAAATGTCGGTGGGCAAGGCAGCACAAGTTCGGGCTCATCATTACCCGAGGCAATTTAGGTCAAGTTTGCTTTGTTTGTCTGATGTTGACGCAGCACGCGTATCCCGATCTTTACCAAATGTCAACTCGCACGTCTACTTAAGCGATAACTGCTTAGCGTGCGCCCAGGGCCATGGCCCACGGGTGACACGGTTGGTATGACCACTTAAATGCGGGTGAAGGAATCGTTCATGCACCCACTTATTGTGGAAGTCCAGAAGACACCTGATTGCACAGGAAAGATTGCCAGAGTAAGCGCTAGATGAAGTAGGCTAGAGCACGAGACAGACTTAATCTATGATTCATTCTCCATTTTATCTCAAGCTCCACAATCCTTCTCAAGCAAGGCCTTCGAGCCCTATTTGCCCCTCTGCAAACCACGAGCATGTCCTTTTAATATATCAAATATGAAAATCGGAAACAAGATAATCAAGACAATCAACCAACCGCCTTATCAAGCATGGGGCGCACGAACAAGGCAGAGTTCCTAACCTACACGATGGTAGGCACGCTGGCTACAGCGGCAGCTCCTGCGAAGACGGCTACCATTAATATCAAGTAGCTCCGTGAAGGAAGTGCTCGTGACGGGCTCAAGTAGAGCGGTCAATTTAGCTGTCTGGCTTGCAAGGGGCAGTGGACTGACGAGAAGAAGACCCACAACCTCGTTGCTCTCACCGAGGGCGTTTTGGAGCCTGACGTCGATTAAGCCGCCATTGACGCCATCAACACAGGCAGTAACTTAGAGGACTTCTTTACAGACGTGGGTCCGCTGTCTGTTCCCGCCGACTTCAGCGAAGACCTAAACAACGGGCTCTGGGCCATGAAGTAACGTCGAGATGAGACCGTCATCAACTTTTCGAGGAATTAACTTTAGCAAGTAGGTTGGATCCAAAATGGAATCAGTAAGTAGATTGACTAACCTACTTGTAAGTAGGTATAATCAAGAATAAGAAGTTAAGGGTTAGATCAGATATTAAGACGTTTTACAAGACAATGCAGCAACACAACGAAAAGTTATCGATGTAAGTAGGTTTATTAATCTATCTACGATGTCCGAGCGAGTCGCTTGCCCTGTTTGCGGTCGAGTTTTGTCAGCACATAGCCTCAGAAAGCATGTCGGTCGCCAAGTCTGCCTGGAGCAGCATGACCCGACTCTCAAGGCCCGCCGACTTCAGGAAGCTCGAGTAGCCAAGCTTGCTTACGACCGTCGATTTTCAAGAGCTCGGCGTGGGGCTCTCGAGCAGCTTGCGCTGCGGTTGGTCCAGCGTCAAGATCCTAACCCTTCCCGACCCATCCAGGGATCGACTCCTTTTATTTTAATTTCATTAACTGGTCTCTTTCAGAAAATGGTTACACGTTTGCAGTTTCCGACATTTTGGCTTGGCTAACAGTGCACGTAAGGAGTCTTTGCTAGAGCGCAAAATATGACGAATGAAGGGCCGTGAGCACCTCGTCCTGGTAAGGCGGTGGGGTTTCAAAACT